CTGACAACATCAGTCGCAAAACCTGTCACGAGTGAACACTCACAAACTCAACCCAGTGGTTATAGCTTGCCTGTTTTGCTGGTTTTAAAGCGGGTGTAGGGGGTGGTAGCCAGCCGGTCTCCAATACTGACCAGCTGGATACCAGTTAAATACTAGCTTGACCACGGAGTTAAACAACCTAAGAACAGCAAGCCACTTTTGCCTGTTTCTTTATACAGTACACTGAACCTTAATTCCCTAACTACACACATTAGTGAAATTTCAAAAAGGTCCATTGTCTATTGTAGCGATGTTTGAGGCACAGCTCACACAGAAGTCACTTTCAAACCAAGCAGTTTTTGGTTGGCCAATGTGTCGAATCCACGTGACCAATTTGAACTTGTTATGGGGAAATCTTTCATCCTCAAGCAGAATTCAAGATCGCATTGATCCCTATTGAAATGACTGGATTCGCCCACGAATATCTGCTGAACAACGGTAATGTGGACACAATTCGAAACATCAAAACAAAAATCATATAATAGGCCTATACACATACAAAACACAGTGTGCATCTAAATATGGATATGTTTTGAGCTTGGTGCAAGCAGGCTTATCTGCTTCTGAGAAGACACATTGTTCTTCTTCGAATGCCCTCTTTAACCTTGTCTTCAGCCAATAAGGAAGAAGATGTTATGCAGCTTGCAGTTTCTTTAACACTTTATATGGTATAAGCTAGTTAGATTAAAAATTTCCATTACATAAATATAATCAAAACATTGTATTTGTCTATTACCGGTAGTTTTATAAGTTTATTACATAGACCATATTTAATTGACTATTAACAGATTTGAAGCTGTACTGTCATTCAATATGAAAATACATTTTGATTTGGTTAACTATGTATATAAATGTGTTCTTAATCAATGGTCTTAATAATTGTAGCGGTCTCATCTCGTGCGCTTTCTTTCACAGGTGCAGTTGCATAGTAAACATGAGGTAAATAAAGTCAAATAAAAAAAATGACAGAGCCTCAGCTGCTTCTCATCACTTGTACTTTTGTTAAGATATTCATATAGACTATGCAAATGTTACATTCATCACCGTAACCATTCATAAATACTCTAGTTTGTATAATAATAACGATATTTATGAATACTATAAACTCCTCGCAGAGCCGTTTAAAAACTTTTCCAACGGTTCTGTTTTATGGTTAAGACTGGTGACATGGTGCTCAATGACAGTTGGGTGATTTTCGCTCTCCACTTCCTGTGAAGTGATGTATCAGTGTTCTCCTATTCCCTACGATGTTTGCAGTGCCCTTCGAACTGAACATGTTCACTCCCTTCAGATTGGAATCTCACTTAAGATGGCGGAATACCCTGTGAAGTCCACTTCGCAGTCCACTTACGTTCGAATGAAACGCACTTGGCGAAGGGAGCAATAAAAGACTCAGGTGCGTTTCATTTGAACGTAAGTGGACTGCGAAGTGGACTTCACAGGGTATTCCGCCATCTTAAGTAAGATTCCAATCTGAAGGGAGTGAACATGTTCAGTTCGAAGGGCTTCAAACAGCTTCATTATGACACACAAGTGCCCTGCTCCCTCCAAAGTCCCCACTTCAAGTGCTCTGCCCTTCAGAGTGAGTAGGGCATAGGGATGCTCACCTCCGATTGGATTTGCCCCATTGATGTCCAGTTCAAGGATTTATTGAGGTTATTCTGTATACATGTTGATATTTGAGGTCTACAATTAAACAGAAATAAGGAACAATTAAGTAGGTTTATAAACGGTATTACAAACAGCACAAACAAAGTGAATTACAAATGACATTTGTGGGGCCTAACAAGTAGAAAAACTGGTTGAATAAATATCTTATAAATAGCAATTAGTAACACAAGAATTCAATAGCACAAACAAGATTAGTATATAATGAGCTGTTTCCATCCAAAGATACAATATAAATTAAATGACTTACTTTGTAATCAATCACTTACAGGAACAAACATGCAAAACTCCAGAACATAATACAAGCACCCATAATACAAGTCCGGGAATATAGTGTAATTTGTAACAAGCGTATAGACCTTATGTGCCAGAGAAACAAGCACACAGCTATCTTTAGAATTTTGTGTTTGAACGTCCATTTTTGCATTAGATCTGTATATTTCTATGTATTCCTTGATGCTGTGGAAATACAAACCAGAAGACAACACAAGCGCATGCACTGAAAAGGGGCGTGGCTACATCAGGGCTGGATCGGGATATTTGGGACAATAATATTAGTAGTATAGGCCTGTGTTTTAATCAGCCAAAAAAATTACAGACATTTTTTGTAACTAGTTTTACAAGAATGTTTAGTAATTTGGCATAACTCTCAAATCATTCTGTGGCAAAACAAATGCTATAGTCTACACATGCTCAGACAATCAGAGCACGGCAGTTGAACAGAAACATCACCTTGTCACAGAAGATTTCATATTTAGCTCTGTTTGTTTCGCCTTTCGTCGCACCTGTGAACTCTCAATTGAAATGTGATTTTAAGGCTGGAATACTAATGCGAATGCTAATTCACCCCTGTTGTCTGTTCATGGTTACTCGCAGACGAAGGGTATTTTGCCATTCAACATGATCTGCCAGCCACACACACAGTCACACGTTTGTTTTTGTATCACGGTCCCTTCTTTGACTTCGACTGTTTAATACTGAAGTAACAATATTTTATATCCCCTTTAACCCTTTTTATAGTATCATTAATTAAATATATATGTTTAATTAAGTGGTTTTCCTCGTGGGGAACATTGGTTGCTGATTTCAGGATTTATATCCTCTGGGGGTAGCCAAAACTTGATGGATACACTCTAGAGACACACACTTGATCATCCTTTTTCACTTGTGAGTTATTAAAAGACTGTGCATTTACATGCTTCTTTTTAGTTCATCATTCCTGTTTTGCCCAGCAAATGAGCAGTTCAGAGTAAAAACAGTTGTTAGGACTTTGAAGGAAAGAATGTGTCATTGAATATTCAGATATTCAGAGAGCACATGATGGCTAACTGTCAGACACACACACACACACACACACACACACACACACACACACACACACACACACACACACACACACACACACACACAGACTAATCCTCTTACACTGCAGGCTGAGCTGTAGGGCTCGGCTGGTCATGACTGTTGCTGGCAGCCTCAGCTACCTGCTGCCACATGTTTCTCTCTATCTCTCTCTCTCTCTCTCTCTCTCTCTCTGTGTGTGTGTGTGTGTGTCTCAGTGAATGTGTGCAGTGTTCACTTAAACATAACCTGTAAAATAAGAGTTTAAACTCAAAAACGGCTAAATCAAACTCATCTGTCAATTAGGGTTGGATGCATGACCTATGTTTGTGTGTGTGTATGCTTACGTTCAAATGTATTTCTCAGTTTGTTCAAATTAATGGACCTCCAGAAACCACGGCAACAGCATTCCCCTCATGCTAGACTATGTTGTGATGTCACAAAGCTGTACACAGTTGCCTTGGCAATGACTGGATGAAGCCCTAGTGGGTTTTTTTCTTCTTTGTGCATCTAACTGGCTCCAAGAGAATTTGCATACAGAAATAACCACTGTTTGCTGTATCCAGAACATTGTAATGCTGCACAAAGCCGGATTTCTTGAGTTGCTTCTCTTTGAAGTTGGATTATGGTTTTGTTCCAAATTGGAATAGACATAAAAAGCACAAAACTCCCCATTCTCATGGCCTCTAGAATATAAATTAGAGTCAAATAATTCATTGAAACAAAATTATAATTGTTACCATACACTTTTGTAAACCCTGCAAGGAGAAATTGTTATTTTCGATGAATTATGTGGAACCAAACTTACAATGGAAACCTATGAGGCAAGGCAATATAAGAGTTTAAAAGCAATGCCAGTTCATATTGTTGGTAAAAGCATAAAGCACTTATATGAATTATTCTGTACGGAAATGTTTGGGGTCATAAGATTTTTTTTGTTTAAAAAAAAAAATTCAATGAAAACAGTTTTGCTGCTTAAATATTTTTGTGGAAACCGTGATACATCGTGATACTGTATCCTTTGATGAATAGAAAGTTCAAAGTAACACAATTCTAACAAGAAAAATCAAATAACAAGCACAACTTTTGATCAATTTAATGTGTCCTTGCTGAATAAAAGTATTAATTATTTAAAAAAAAAAATCAAACTGACCCCAAACTTTTGAATATTGATTTATATATATAATAATTTTGAATGTTTGTATGTATAACAGTGTATATACTGTATACAGCCTATATACAGTACGTGTTATTATATTATTTCTTGTATCGACATGGTACTGAAATGAGTTCAAATATTGGGCCACAATGTTACAAAGTAATTTTTTATCTCAATAGTATTTCAAAACTGTGTGTATTACAACATTTATTTATTTTCAATGTAAGTGCATTGTTCAAAATGAGTAAACAGTACTGTTAAGAGTTTTTACAAACTGAATGTCAATTTAATGAAATTTTCTAATTTAATCCACAGAGTATGTCATCCTTTGCTCACCCTCATGTCATGTCAAACCATCTTTTGTCTACACTAAAAGTCGAACAGGTTTGGAACATCTTGAGGGCGAGTAGATGATGACAGAATTTTCATTTTTAGGTAAACTATCCCTTTAACGTTTATGCAACCTAGAAAACTCATCTTCTCAGTTCCAACATGAACTATTGAAATTCCAGCTCGCAAAAATATACCACATCTATCCATAGTCAGCATTTGCGTTGGTGTTTCAGTATAGTGTGAATGAAGTCTTTGTGATGGCATGGAGCATGACTGATGGTGCTGTCACACATGTAATGGAGCGAACAGCAGAAGTCACAGATGCTAATGCTATTCATCACTAATGCTGGGGAAAGATTCTCAGAACTCCAGAATTCCAGGGATTTAGTTCCACGCAAATGAGCTTGTTACAGATCTGCAACCTCTAGAGAAGTGTGTCCCAAGAGTTAAAATGAAAGTATGACACTTGGGGGTTGGGGAATATTGAAGCTGTCCATAAATTCCAACCCCTTTTTTTATTCTTTTTGCATTTGTTTTACACACTTTGTGACACTTAGGTCTGCTAAACCATACAACAATGATAAAAAATAAAAGCAAACTTGAAGTTAATAAATAGAACTCCTCTGTAATGTATTCACACAACTGTACAGTCCCATGGGCCATAGGACAATATGACCCTCAATGTCCCATAAATACAGAGATTCTGTGCAATCTTTTCATCCACACACCCCGCTGTGTCTACATGATTGTGCAACTCTTGGCTCTGTCCTCCCTGAGGGTCGGGGTGGGTTCAAGGGGCGTGTCTTGTGAGCTGACTGGCAGCAGAGGCTGATTAGATATGCGCTTGAGAGCGTGGCGCGAGGAGCTTCTCTTGAGGCTCGGGGCGGTTTCACGTCTGACGGACACGAGCGTGGTGATGTGAAAGACGTCCCGTACGCTGTTCACGCACATTCGGGATGAACATTCCACGTATGCAACTGCGCCCAGCTCGCGTGCTCGTAAACTCCCCTGATAGACAGACAGAAAGAAGTCAGCATCATTGTACCGTGTCAGAACTCTCCAGGAGCATTTACTTTCTCATTTCTCTATCAAAAAATCATTGCAATTTCCTTGTCACCCTTTTCTCTCTTTTGCGCTCTTTAATGTAAACTTTCTTATGGTACTTTCCTCGAATAGGGTGCAAAAATAATACCTGAAACTCCTCTAAAATGTCAGGGTTTTTTTTTTTTTTTTTTTTACAATAAATAGTCATTTTTGCCCATAATGCTTTAGAACTAAAAGTAGTGGGACACAGAGTTGTACCATTTTCACATAAAGTGCCATCTATTTCTCTCATTACAGAGTAGAATTATGGTGAGAACTAGGTGTTTCATAATGAAATGTTGCAACAGCGAGTTGACCCGCTCAGAGCATTGACGTAATAGAGGGAACATTTTCTACTGCTCCCTCTGTTTTAATGTGTAATTATAGAGCTTTCTTTTAGTGTCTACTCTGTGAGTGCTTCAATGGTTTCAATCACAAGATATGAGCGGTTGACATGACATTTCAAGCTGTGACATCAGTGTACTGCAGTGTGAGATGCTATACTTCATCTAAAAATATTTAAAACATTTTTATATAGTCCTTGAGGAAGGTAAATATATTTGGCTTACATAAAATAAATGTTTAATTAATCTTTTTTTTTTTAAATCTTAATTCATATAAATTTAGACACTATGAGTGATATTTGTGATGTTTTTTATGATTAGCTTGCTAGCAAACTTCCGACCATGTGTCTTAGTTCTTGTGTTTGTGTAGCAGCAGTTGAGTAAACGCTGATGTCCTATAACACAATCTTGCTTTTTTTCCCTTTGTGTTTTAGTCCCCTGAGTGTGTGAGAGAATGTGTGTAAACTCACCTGTTCATGAGTGACAGGTATGAGTCTCTGTTTGGACAGTTCTCGTAAGGTGCTGACATCTGTTCTCATATCCAACTTACAGCCAACCAACACCAACTTGGCATTAGGACAATACTCCTGAGCCTCCACCTGCCACTGAAAAAACGAAAGAAAGAATCTGTCAATTTAAATAAGAACATCTATCCACCTACTGACCTACCCACTTACCTAGCTATTGATCTAAACAACCTTTCAAAAGTTTGGGGGCATTTAAAAAACAAAAAGGAATTAATACTTTTATTCAGCAAGGATACACTAAATTGATAAAAACAAAGAGTAAAGATTTTACATGGTTACAAACGATATCTATCTATCTATCTATCTATCTATCTATCTATCTATCTATCTATCTATCTATCTATCTATCTATCTATCTATCTATCTATCTATCTATCTATCTATCTATCTATCTATCTATCTATCTATCTATCTATCTATCTATCATCTTACTTTCCTTCCTTATCCAGCTATTAGTACAGTTGTAATCAAAATTGTTCAACCCCCATTGCAAATCAGGTTTATTGGCAAAATTACATACTTTCAACTGTTTGCAATGAAAAAATCAGACAAAAGTAATTGAAATAGCTCAACACAACATGTTTCAAGTGGTTTCCTCAAATTCAACTGAAAATGCATCTTTTAATGACTTCTGCAGTCTCAAAATTATACAACTCCTTCATGGCAAGCATCTTTAGTACTAAGTAGAAAACCCTTTTGCTGTTATGACCTGCTGCAAACGAGATGTATAACCAGACACCAGCTTCTGGCAGCATTTCTGAGGAATCGTAGCCCATTCCTGATGAGCAATGACCTCCAGTTCAGTAATATGCTTGGGTTTGCGTGCTGCAAACGCCTTCTTCAAATCCCACCAAAGATTTTCTATGGGGTTCAAGCCAGGTGACTGTGATGGCCACTGTAGACTCTTTCAGGCCTTGGTGGAATTTAAGGTATGCTTGGGATCATTGTCCTGTTGGAAGGTCCAATGACACCCACACTTCAGCTTCCTCACTGACGGCATGTTTTCTCCAAGGATTTCCTGATACTTCAATAAATCCATCTTGCCTTCCACACGCTGCAGGTTTCCAGTGCCAGAGGCTGCAAAGCAGCCGCAGAGCATCACTACCACCATGCTTAACTGTAGACAGAGTGTTCTTTTCAGCATATGCTTCATTCTTCTTCCTTCTGACATACCGCTGAGACATAGGACCGAAAAGTTCCAGTTTTCTTTCATCGCTCCACAGAACAGTATCCCAAAACTTATGTGGCTTATTTAAATGATTTTGAGCACTTTTCTCGTGCTTTTGGGTCAGTAGTGGTGTACATTTTCATCTTGGAGTTCTGGCATGCGTTTAGTACGCACCTTATAATGAAAGCTTAAACCTCAGTGCCTGTTCCCACCAAGTCTTGCTGCAGGTCTTTTGCAGTCACTCGAGGGGTTTTCTAAACCTGCTTTATCAGAAATCTGGTTGCAGCCGTTGATAGCTTCCTTTTTCTGCCCCGTCCAGGTAGTGTAATCACGGTTTCTTTACATTTGAACTTGCGAACTATGCTTCCAATGGTGTATCTAGGAACATATTGTGCCTTCTCTATCTTTTTGTATCCTGTTTGTGAAGGGTGATGATATCTTCTCTTAACTTTTTGGGCCATTCTTTTGACTTATCCATATTTCTAACATGCAGTCAAACATGACACTCAATAAACCTAGCCAGTTCAGATATTTGGGGCCCTATCTTGCACCCAGCGCAATTTACTTTGTACACCGACGCACACCGGACTTTTCCCTCCACAGAGGCACATTGATAAATTAGTGAATGAACTTGCGCTCCCGGGGGCGGTCCAGCGAAAAGAGGAGGCGTGTTCCGGCGCAAACGTTCCCTGGTGCTATTTTGCAGTTTCAGAAAACAATTCCGCCACAGACCAGGAAAAACCTAGTCTAAAGTCAGTGGCACGTTATTCAGATGCTATTTTAACCCCCATGGGGTCGGCGGCGGGCGATCCTGTTAAGTGTCTATTTTTTTGTGTATACTAGATTAATATTTTTTTGTGTATGGAACTGGATTAATATTCTGAATGTTCTAAACCAATCTGACTTCTGACATGTAATGCTGCCTGGATCATAATCATACACTGTTCGTTCGTTGGCCAGAGGAGAACTGGCCCCCGACTGAGTCTGGTTTCTCCCCAGGTTTTTTTTCTCCATTCTGTCACTGATGGAGTTTTGGTTCCTTACCACTGTTGCCTTGGTTTTTGGCTTGCTTAGTTGGGGACTTTTAACATTCAACAATATTATTGATCTGCCTTACTTAAAGGGATAGTTCGGCCAAAAATGATATTTAAACCATGCATTACTCACCCTCAAGCCGTTCGTGATGCATATGTCAATCTTGTTTCAGGCGAACACATTTTCAGTTATTTTAGAAAATGTCTTAGACCCTTCAGTGGATAAAATGTGAAGCAATGGGGTCCACCTCCTTCAAGTCCCAAAATGTTCATATATCCTTCACAGAAGTAATCCATCCGGCTCCAGGGGGATAAACGAAGGCCTTATGAGGGTAATCCGTGCGGTTTTGTCGTAAAAATATATATATTTAAAACTTTATAAATGAAAATATCTGACTTCCGGCAACGATCGACGCGCGCCCACGGGTGATGTTTTGCTCTGCTCTCTGGCTGCGCGGGCGCGTTCGTTGTACGTCACGACGCTACGTCCTACCTCGTGCGCCGACTTCCATCACCCGTGGACGCGCGTCGATCGTTGACGGAAGTCATGTATTTTCATTTAAAAAGTTTTAAATATGTATATTTTTACGACAAAACCGCACGGATTACCCTCATAAGGCCTTCGTTTATCCCCCTTGAAGCCGGATGGATTACTTTTGTGAAGGATGTATGCACATTTTGGGACTTGAAGGAGGTGGACCCCATTGCTTCACATTATATCCACTGAAGGGTCTAAGACATTTTCTAAAATAACTGAAAATGTGTTCGTCTGAAACAAGATTGACATATGCATCTCGAACGGCTTGAGGGTGAGTAATGCATGGTTTAAATATCATTTTTGGCCGAACTATCCCTTTAAGGTGGACGATGACGCAATTTTATTCTAGAAACAAACTTTGTTGTATTATTTTCATGTTATCACTGTGAAGCTGCTTTGATACAATCTGTATTGTAAAAATTGCTATATAAATAAAGACGACTTGATTTGACTTGACTTATTTTGTTATATGTGACAGCAGTCGTCCGTGAGGGCCTGCTGTCTTTTACTTTCATTTGTTTCATTTATTGTATTAAAGTCTGTTGAATGTTCGCCGGTTCCCGCCTCCTCCTTCCCATTACAACTGAATTGCGTTACACACATTTACCCAAATTACTATACGCCTGTTTAACCGAAGCTAATGTCACTTCTCTGTCTTTTACGGCCCTGGCGAGAACGTTGGTCTCCTCGGCTGTGAACCGCTCCTGGCGTGCGTCTGGCAAATCCGCCATTATAATAGCAATCCGCCATGGAACAAGAGCGCCTGGTTTTAAAGGGAATGTGAGATGACGCTGTGATTGGTTTATTGCACATTACGCCCAAACCACACCTATGAGTAATGTAGCTACTTCAGATCAACCCATTTTAGATTTGCGAGATCTCGCAACCTGAGATCCGCCCACAAAGTTACTTGCGTTTCGCGTTTGATACTTGCATTTCAGATCGTTAAAATAGGGCCCTTTATGTGTTATAGCTCAAGCACACCTGGTGCAACTAATGAAGCCCTTGATTTGTTGCATCAGGTTGAGACAACAAATGTTTTGCAGATTTGTGCTGTTGTGAATCGGGATTCTATTCAGGGGGTTAAATAGTTTTGCGACTGCAAAGTCATTAAAAGTTGCATTTTTAGTTGAATTTGGGGAAACTACTTGAAACATTTGTTGTGTTGAGCTATTTCAATTACTTTTGTTTGATTTGTTTGTTGCAAACAACTGAAAGTCTGTAAATATTTCCAATAAACCTGATTTGCAATGGGAGTTGAATAATTTTGATTACAACTGTAATGTACAGATTTCAGTATTTAAATTTTGGGAATAATATTTAAATATTTTATTTAGTTTTTTAGCCAATACTTGCAATAGTTGTTTATGCTGTAATACAGTGAGCTTGTGGCACATTGTTTTTCTCCCTTCCTGTCATTTATGTGTGCATAATGAGTGAATAATGTAGTTTTGTGTGCGTGAGAGAGAGAATTAGGGAAACAATTTGACCAGCTATTGTCTGAATACTTACAAACACTCACACTCATACACATTCTAATCAAATCAGATTATATTTACACCAGTTTTTCCTAATTAACTATACAGCAAAGTAAACAACAACAGCTTCAAATCTCCTTTTACACCAGTGTAACTTGAAATGACCCAGACAAGGGTCCTTTTCAGGAACATTCCTGCTAATGCAGAACCATCCAGAGCCAGTTATTCAGACAGCTTATGTGTGAGCATGCATGGTGCATGTGTGTATTCACCAGCCCCTGCAAAGGTTCAGCAATCTCAGCTATGGCACCATTTCACAGGTTCTGAATGTGTTCAACCATCCATCAAACAGCACTGTGATCTTTAACCTTAAATGCCACCGTTAACTGGCCAATCGGAGGTCACCGCCTGCCTCTCAACATTCCACAACAGCCTTTAGCTACGCCCCTGTGGCCTCAGAGGTGAGATGCTGAAATGTAACAGCATTCAGTGTGTCTGGTGTGGCAGGGTTAGCATTAGGACAGTTAGAGAATGAAAGGCATTTAGAGGAATTTTGGGATAATTACATACATCAGATTAAATCACTCTCTAATAATTAAAAAAAGAAACCCATATACACTACCCATTCAAAGGTTTGGGTTCTGTCTTTGAAAGAAGTCTCTAAGGCTCACAAAGGCTGCATTTATTTGATCAAAATACAATATAAACAGTAATAGTGTGAAATATTATTACAATTTAAAAGAACTGTTCTTTATGTTAATATATTTTCAAATGTGATTTATTCCTGTGATGGCAAAGCTGTATTTTCAGCAGTCCTCGGTGTCACATGATGATGCTGGTTTGCTGCTCAATAAACATTTCTTATTATTATCAATGTTAAAAATATTTTTGTGGAAACCATAATTTTTTTTTTTGTTGGGATTATTTGGTAAATCGAAAAACAGCATTTATTTTAAATAGAACTCTTTTGTAAAATTGTAAATATTTTGATAACAGTCACTTTCAATCAGTTGAATGTGTCCTTGCTGAATAAAAGTATTAATTTTTGATTAGTGTTTACCGTTACTGTGATATAAATGTGATATTTGTTCATACTGCCCACTCTTCTTCCTACATCATCCGAATATCTTTTTCTCACCAGACATATAGACTTAAATAAAAAATAAAAAAACACATTTAAACCTTTCAGCGCTAGGCTCACACACTCATCACCACATAATTGCTGGCATCTGTGTTTAGGTAAAGCTTGTATTTTTGTGTAAATCCACAATGCCGTCATCTGCCAACTGCAAAACACCCACAAACAAAAACCTTTCTTAGTCAACAATTACATTGTGTTTTCACAGCGAGAGACTAACGCTGCAAGTATCTGAGTGTTTACAACTACAACTAATAATTCAATTCCAAAATGCACGTTTGCAAGTACATAAGTTTTTAGGATGAGAGAAAAGAAGAAAGGAAAGGAAAGGAGATTCTGACCTTCTTAGGGATGCTGTCCAGCGTCTCGGGTCTGCTGATATCAAAACAGATGAGCACAGCATCGCAGTCCGGATACGCAAGCGGTCGTACATTATCATAATACGAGGACCCTGCAGAACACAAGCACAGTGAGGGGTCAGGAGAAAAACGCTTCATTATAATAAAGCTGATGCTCAAATCAAAGAGCGAAACACTGCTAATGGTGTTCGCGAATGCTGTGGCACGTACAAATTATGTACAGTGGGTCATACAGCAGGGCAGATGATATAAAAGAATGATGTTTCTCCGGTGGTGAGTGCCTGAGCAGGAAGAGAGAGGGGTCAGTTTGATTCCAGCACAGTCATTTCTTTCTTTTTGGCTATGTTGGTGTCCATTCTGCTCATAATGTGTGTATATTGTGCACATTATGTAAAAGTTTTTAAGCCTCCCCTTGTCAAAGGGTTCGGGGCAACATTCCTGGTTTACCCATTGTTTCCCACAATGCAATGTGGCTAACTTGACACCATTTCCAGTGTAATTGAATGAATTCAAAGTAATACAGCAAAGATTTTTTATGTCTCTGTTTTTATGCATTAAAACATTTTACATGAAATACAAATGCTAAATAATTGGTTTTATTTCCAGTAAAATAACTGAACACCACTAATGAAATGTAATTGAGGTCATTATCAGTGTTATTTTAGTATCATTGAGGTACTAGTTTTTATTTATTAAATAAAAAACAGTTTTTATTCATATTTTGAATTAGTTTTTATATTTCCCCAATTTATTTTAATTTTAGTTAAAGCTTTTTTGTGTATTTTTGACATTTTTAACATGTCTATATATTATTTTCTATTTCAGTTTTAGTTATTTTCAGTACATTAAGTTTTATTTTAAATTTTATTTTGTTTATTTTATTCCAAGTAAAAAAAGGTTTTAGTTTTAGTTAACTATAATACCCCTTTTCTATAAACTCTCTCCATGGCTTTGTTCTCAATGGAAAACGGACACTGCTTACTGTGCAGTATATACTGCTTTTTATTTGCAACATTAGTATTACAGTAGAATATTAGCACGGTACTAAGCTATTGTTGTCACCTGATCTCACTGCATTGTGTGTTTAAATTAGTGGTGTCCAGTTATAATCACTGAAATAAAACATTTTGTGTAATATTTGCTCATTTGTCAAGAAATAGATCAAGAAACAGATACAAATAGTAGTTATGTTGCTTCTAGATCATTTGTGATGTTGGAAATAGAAGATAAGCAAGTTTAGGTCAGCATTGTGGTATACATATAGAAAATTTGCATAACGTGCACAGTATACATACTTACTGCCACTGTCTACAAATGCCATACTCTCTGTCTTTCCTGATCTCCTCTCTCAAACTTTGTATTCATCTCTCACTCTCCTGTCCTTCCCTCGAGTGAGGACACAAATCCAGACATAGACAGTGAGAGATAGGGAGGGAAAGAGAGAGGACGTGTGAGAGTGACAATGAGTGTTTGAAGCGCTGATCAAAGCTATCAGTTATTATGGGTTGGCCTCAGGAGTCACCCTATGAGCTACATGTCCCACAATCCTCTCTGGCAGATCTGTCAACCACAGCCACGGAAAGATGGTTGAATCTAATTTCTTGGATTAGAATGGAAATAAGGATAAGAAGAAACTAATAAAATTTTACAGAGAAAGAGGCTGGAATGGAAAGAAAGGCTGATATTGCTTGTTTGTTGTTTGTCGCCATGTTGAGTGTGCTTGTCCACAGGGACACTTTTTTCTGTTCTCACTGCAACAGCTTCTAAAATACACTTGCTTACTTAGCTGTTTAAATGAGGACACACTATAGACTTATATCGTTTATTTTTAAATAAGGTTAATGCTGTACACATGTATTGATCATTGTTAGTTTGTTAGTTAATGCATTAAATAATTTTAACAAATGAGACCTTATTATAAAGTGTCATAATAATAAATAATAATAATCATAAAAATAATACTTTATGCCTTCATAATGATATATAATAATAATGTTACCTTTCATAAATGGTAAGATTATTCATATATTATTAGTTTTATTATTACTATTATAAATAATAAACATATTATAATGTCATATTCTATTAATTTCCCTTTTTGTTATCATAATAATAATACTACTGTACAACTGATCTATATAATGACATATAGATCAGTGTACTGTACCCCTTCATAAAAAGGTAAGTGTTTCATACATTATTATTATTAATAGAATAATAATAAAATGTGTTTTAATAATTTTCCTTTCATTGTGTATGAATGGAATGTCCCCTAAAAGGGCAAGTCTGTCAAAATTTTTAATTTTTAATTATACTTCGCTAAGTTCTTGGGACAGATTTGTACCCACAGTACAGCTCAGTAAACCCAACACACACACACACACACACGCACGCACGCACGCACGCACACACACACACACACAGTGTTTACTGTACAGCTGCGCCGCATCGCAGCCTCTGTAAGTGTGTAAACACTTCCTAGCACTTCTGTTGTCTGTACCTGTTTAACAATTTAAACACCTTCTCATTTATGGTCACTCTTCTCTGCCTATGCAAAAACATTCACACCATGTTAAAAAGCATTCATTTCCTGTCTTGTTTGCAGTGGATGTTATATATAACTCCAGAAATCTCTGCCAGTTGTTTTATTTTCTAGACATTATTACTGTGATTATGTCTGTTAGTGCTAGACATAATTTGTATCTTGTCAAGAACAGTGTGTCCATATGAAATGCTGACCTGAATGTTTGCCAGTAAACATTCTCCTCTTCCAGTCCCTAGATTCCCCTCTTGCCAGCTGTGTGTGTGTGTGTGTGTGTGTGTGTGTGTGCGTGTGTGTGAGACTGAAGCAGAACTCTATGGGATGTCATTACAGATTGTTGAAGATGTAGCCGTAAGCACAAGAGTGTCGGTTAGCTCAGGATCCAGCACCACACATATGCTCACACACACATCCGCAGACACCTCATTAAGACCCATCAGAGACACAGCAAGATTACCTGTGTGAATCTGTGTTTATGTTTGCATTTTTGTAGATCTAAACGGGCCTAAAGGCAATGAGCAAATAGGCTAAGCAGAATTCAAATTCCCTCAATTCAAAAAAGGATAAAGGGATAGTTCACCCAAACATTTAAATCCAGTCATCATTTACTCACCTTCATGTCATTCTAAACCTATATGACTTGTATATTTTGAAGAATGTTTTAACTGTTTTTGTCCATGCAATGAAAGTCTACGAGGTTCAAAACAACATTGAATCCCATTACATTTTCTTTTGAATTTCACAGATGAAAATATTTTAAATTTTCCCTTTAAGCTCTATGAACAACATCTGGTCCATGCAGTTGATTACCATTTTCAACTAATTTCTCAGAATGTCACACAAAAATCACATTGACAGGTATGTGATTAAAATGGAAGTCTTTGGTGTAAACGTACCACTACAGCCCCATAGACTTTCTTATAAGTGGATTTCAGTCAACACGTTGTTTTTTGGTTTTACCAACTAAGGGGGGACTCGATATCTGAAAATACAGAGGGAAATGCTTAAGAAAAATTTAACAAAACAAATCACACTTGGTGAAACAAAAGAGCCTCTCATTACCATTCAGCGTTCTCATTACTCATTTCTCATCAAATTATTGCCCTAGTTCTCCAGATGATCGGGCCGATACTCCCATGTCCCATCCAGTTCTAGATTTTCATTGTGACAAATTAAGATTTATTCATATGTTTACATCATTTTGTAGCACTTAAAGCTAATCCCTTTTATGTCAAAATACTTTATTTTATCCCAGCTTAAAGGCCCTTGCACACTGAGTCCGAAATTCACGTCCGAAATTTTCGCACGTTAAAAAATAAATACGACCTCACGTTATGTCAATGACGCTTGCACACTGCCTCCGAAACTTTCGTCCGTCATTAAAAAAATCGAATCGGGTTCGATTTTCTGCGTTTTTCGCATCCGTAGCAAGCAGTTTGAATGGTGTTTTGACAATTCAGAGCCACCGAATCACGAATACGAAAAAACGCATACGAAAATTTCGGACTCAGTGTGCAATGGCCTTAATGTGTGGAGACAAATATAAGCAGTTGTTATCTTGGAAATAAAAATACTTTTATATATGTATATATGTATAATATATAAATGTTGTTGTTGTTTAAACTTAACATTTGTCAAGAAAAAGATTTTGTAGCTGATTCTACTTGTGGCTCATTTATCATGCTGGAGATGGAAGGTCAAGTCAAGTGCATTGCATTGTGGGATACAGTATTAAATGCAGTTTGCCCTATTGCATGCTACACAATTTTCCCAAATGTAAAAGGTCATCTTGGTATTCTGTGCATACAAAATTTGAATGCGGTATACGTACTTCAGTATGTAAGAGTAGTATGCAAGTAGTATGTAAAACTTAGACTAGTATGTTCATATGCATTTCCAAACATTTGCTGTTGTTTTTGCGACACATCTGGTGGCGAAAGAGATGCAGAAAGCACCTTTAATGCATGTGACCATACATAGGGCCATACTTTTGTTATGTTTGCCTTAAATTTAGTCTCCAAGTTACACCAACTTGTGCATCATTTTATGTTATTTGGTAAGACATTATTGGTTATTAAGTATATCTAAATATACATATACTTTTGCACACATAGCCGCTGGGTGCCTGGCTGTTGTCAAGAGGGCTTACTGACACCCCTTTTAAACAGTGATAAAGTTCACAACCAGTTGAACTTCATTATCATGCTGAAACATGGACTCCTGTGTCCCAGACTGTGTATGAGAGCACTTACAGTAAAGCGAAGATTTACTCTCGACAGGGTTACAGTCTCACCCTTGCACAACCCTACAGACCAACAACAGTGGGAGAGGAAAACATTCCCATAGGAACTTAAAAATGGAGATGACAAGAAAAGAAATTCCCATAAAGGACTTTTATAGCAGGGTGGGGAAACATACAGAGGCCTAGAGCGGGGGATTTATGGGTCACGCTTGCTGAGAAACAACTGAAGTGTGTGTCAGGACGAGTAGCTTAACACCAAGTGTGCTACAATCCACACTGGTAATACTGTCCAAACACACATGCACAGCCCGGAACATATTACTTGAGTTCTGGCTAACTAAGTTCTGGCTTGTTTTAAAGAAGAGAAGCTAGAATCCACACACTAAGCCATTTATATTACAGATCTCACCCAGAGATACAGTCCAGAACTCAAAAGCAATATAACAGGATCATATACTACTCTAAATTAATAAACTCTGTATTGTCTATTGTGCATTGTTAAATCAAAGCAGTGCGAGTTCTGCTACCCGACTCTTGTGAGTCACTCCAGCGAACCAAAGAGCCATTTTCAATTACTCTAATACAAAAACACAAGGGGTCAGCCAGGCCATGGGAGCGGTCAGCAGGGACAGGAATGAACCGCGTCCATGCACTAGGCTAGACTGGCACCAGGATTTGTTACAGTAGAATGTTTGCTATTGCATCTATCTGTCTATCCATGAGGAGGTTTCAAAATGTACACTCCCAAACTGTCCTAATCAGTCTGACGCCACTAGAGAGTACAATAAGTCACAGTAGACGATAGATCACTGGCTATGTTTGGAGTGGAATACTAGTATACTAACTATTGCATACTGCCTAATATATTGTAATATGAATGATATATAATGTATATATTTATTATATATAGAATATATTTATTATTATATATGTAATGAACTGAGCCATAAGTATATATAATACCAAATATAATGAGCCAGTAAGAGCTGTGCCTGTATGTGTTATGTGAATGTGGAACAGTGTACATGATGATTATAGTTGACTGTATTACGAGCATGGTTTTTTAAGCGAGTGGTGTGAAATTATCCTGCACGTTTTAAAAAAAGAGTCAAAAAATGATCAAATTGTTAAAAATCAGTGACATTTCTTCTGCCAAAGCCGCTTTAAGGCAAGCCTACAAGGTTAGCAAAAAATAGCGTAACACTGTGGTATGCAGAGATAGAGGCTTTTTTTAAATAGATGTCAATAGAGGAGAGGCTTCACTACGCTGAATAAACCGCTTTTGTGAGGAAACAGCTTATCATTTAATGAATCGACAGCCTCTCGGCTAATCTTCAACGTGTTTGCTCTTAAACATTCGTTTTTAATTGATCTATTTTTCGACTTGACACAGAGAAAACAATGGTGTTTTATAAGAGAAGTCACGGACAGGTAGGACAAGTAGACACAATTGCACAACAGGTAGGATTCAGTTGACGGCACTTCTCATTCATTTCTATGGTACTTGCAAACAGTGACTGACTATCGCACAACTCTGAACGAAATTCAATGACGTCAAGGCTGTAATTTGATTGGTTATCAAGTCAAACGTGATCTAAGTTCCAATGTTTTCCTATGTTAGAGCCATGGATGGACCATAGTATCTTCCAATAATAAGACCATCTCTGCTTCTGGTTCAGGTCAAATGCAGTGCATTGTGGGATACCGTATTGTGAACCATGTGCTCTTTTGTATACTGCAGTTTGGTAAATGTAGTAGGTCAGTCATGTGTTTTGATGATTTCTCAAAAATAAGTAAATAAAATTTTGCCTATTTTTCACATAAAAGTGGGCACGGTCATTGTAATTTGAATGTGTTGAGACGTCCGGGTTTATCTACTGATATTTTAGCTGTACAAAAACAGCTAAAATAATCCATTATCAAATCCATTATGATTTTACAAACTGCTACTTGTTTTTGAATAATTTTAATTTAATATCGTAACCATCAACACACTGGTTTGTAGCGCATATTATTTTACCATTTGCAGCATTTTGTTATTCTTCTAGTTGTTTCCCAACAGCGGCAAATGAATTGGAAGTCTTGGCACATTCACAGAAAATACTATAGCTTACTTCCGTGATAAAAAATATGGTGGATAAAAACAGCAGTATATTACGTATAGCATACTATTCAGAAAATGGTTTCATTTGATGCCATGCCAGATCTTACCTGATGTATCCCACATGTTCAGCTCGATGCGGTGCTTATCGATCTCAAAGCTCGCAGTGTAGTTCTCAAACACCGTGGGCACATAATTCTGCAATGAAAAATCATATGGTACATCATTTTAGTGGACTATGACAGTACATCAACTATTTAAAGTTGGCATGAAACAGAAGTTGCGATAGAGTTCTTCCCTATTGTGGTGTATATCTGAGTGAAACGGCTTCTCAAACAAGAAAAAATGTAGGGCGGGAATTTATTTTGTCTATTGACATTTGATTGCATGGTTGTGGTTTGCTATTGCTGTGATGCATTGTGAGTGACAGGTTGCCCTGCCCTCACATCATCAGCAAAGACATGTAGCAGCAATTTTGATTTCATGGTGACTTTAAAATAGCTTACTTTTGAACAAAGTTTTGTGTGATCTACTTGCGACGTATGTAACAATAAATGATCTTTATGTTTTATCCGATACCAACCTCGCGCAGCCTGGCAGCCATACGGTTAGTCATCTATTTTAACTAAATAAGTTGCATAGATTGGTCTAATTTGAGAAAAAAAAGTAAATTTGATTATACCTTGGCTAACGTCGAGTTGGTCAGACTAGTTCTTAAGACATAATCGCTGTGTTTATGCAACTGGGCCTAACTTGCAATATAACTTTTATAGTTTTGTAATGAAATGTTATTTGAAAAGAACATGGGATACGAACAGTTTCCACCTTTTTTGCGCTCAAGTGCGACATGATGAACGGGACATCATGCAGTTTATTTAATTAACTCATAACAATGTATGAACTTGAATCGCATTATTAAATCAACTTCAATGCAAGATGTTCATTGGTTTAAAACAGACATACTATTAGGCTACTACGACTGTTGTCATCACTCCACTCGTCTAATTTAGTAACTTATTTTCTGTTTTTATAGTAATATGACATTAATGATAAATGATGGGTTCACCTCTGGGTAGCTGTCCTTGGCGAACACATGCAGCAGCGCAGTCTTTCCACACTGAGTGTCACCGACCACCACGATCTTACAGCGACTGCACTGTCCTTCCATCATCATCATCACTATCAGCACTGTCCTAGCGCTTAACCAACACCATCCGCTGCCTGATGACGGAGCTTTATAACGCAGAATGAATGATTCAGAGTGAGTCTGTCTGAGCTGACGGCTATGTGCCAGGGAGAGAGTCCACTCACACTGGCGTGGCGCGCGCCCCTCCCCGCCCGTCCTCCTGTCAGTCTCCTGGTTCCCACGGTGACACCACGCGCTGAGTCTCGCGCGTCACGCGCCTCGTGCTGGCGCTGGCGCTCTCTCTCTCTCTCTCTCTCTCTCTCTCTCTCTCTCTCTCTCTCTCTCTCTCTCTCTCTCTCTCTCTCTCTCTCTCTCTCTCTCTCTCTCTCTCTCTCTCTCTCTCTCTCTCTCTCTCTCTCTCTCTCTCTCTCTCTCTCTCTCTCTCTCTCTCTCTCTCTCTCTCTCTCTCGACTCAGCTCTCAGACCCTTGATTTCTAATGACACGTTGCCGATCTAGCCTTCCTAATGATTGAGGTTTGGGCATGGTGTAAATTAAACGACCCCTCTGGCTCGTGTATGGAAATAGTGATTTAACGCATCACTGAATCCAACCTCCCCCATCCAGGGTACCCAAGGTCATGAAAAATATTATGAAAATACCTAACCCATGCACTCGGAACATTAGTGAAACTTAATAATAAAACAAAAAGTCAGAAAGTGTTAGCCTATACCTAGAGAGAGAGAGAGAGAGAGAGAGAGAGAGAGAGAGAGAGAGAGAGAGAGAGAGAGAGAGAGAGAGAGAGAGAGAGAGAGAGAGAGAGAGAGATTTCTCGAAGAACAGCTCGAGTCATCTGAAATCCTGAGTCTTTTTGTCTATCTTTGATTAATTTAATTGCTTTTTCCAGCTTTTGGGAAATAACTTTATCTAGAACCATAAAAAAAAGAAAAAAAAGAGAGAGATCAAATGAAGAGATGTGGAGCTGTTGTATTTTATAGGATAAATGGAACTGTTACATTTTTAGTTAGCCTGCTGTTTGACTTTTAAATTTATTTTTGTGTTTGAACTTAATAATGTCAGCATAAATCACAGGTATTCTCAGTTCTTTGAAAAATAGTTAAGTTTAACTTTTTTAACAAATGGGCCAATCCATCGGCTTAATGAATAGCATATCACAGTTCCTTTAATTAGTAGATATTGCATTACATATTAAAATATTAAAATTTAACGGTTTTAGTTCCAATGATTTTAAAGTTTTCAATAGCCTTAATTTAAAGTTATGGTTCTGTCAAAGTTAGCAAGTTTGTGCCCCCCAAAAAAGAAGCATGTTGCATACAAGAGGTCCTTTCTCATTCATTGTAAAAGTAATGCCGCCATCGTCTGTTTACTGAAGGGATTGCAGATGTTGAGTGTTGTAGACACATGTGCTTACTTTTGAGACTTGCGGTGCACCATGAGTAAAATCTGATTGCAAGGGGGATATCTGTGTTTGCTCGGTTTACTTCACTGCAAGATTACTGCAATCATTATCTTTTTAAATGTCATCGTGCGTTCTCAATTTCTTTACATGGACTCATCGTGTTTAAGTATAAAACTAGCGTTGTGGTCGTAATAGTAAAGTAAATAGTATTAAAATCCTATGTATTATAGTAACATTTCGTTTAGTTTTGGTGATGAAGTCAATACTCTAGTAGTCTAATATATTAATTTGGCCTCCTTAGGAATTTAGTTCACGCCCTAAGCCTAGCCATTACTGACAATCAGCATCCAGCCACACCCATTTAGCGCTTTCCTGCTTTTACCAACAGGGGGAGACAAATACCACAACACCAGAGCACAAATTAGCCAATCATTTTATGTTGTTTCATTTAGCATTGAGCTGTTGTCACCGAAAAAACACTGAATTGTGTTATTTTGCTGTCACAAGAAGTTTTCAAAACTAGAAGAAGTGATCCTTCGCTAACCACAGTAGGTTAGCCAATAGCCAACCACATTCCTGCTGTCCATAAATGTTTACTTTCACGCAATGAGGTTTATGACCTTCTGAACGATTTAACTGCATTATATTCACATTTCATATTCCTTCAGCGTTATTTCTTGTACAGTCTGTTTGTTTGTTTGTTTGTTTGTTTGTTTGTTTGTTTGTAAGGCCAGCTGCACTTTGTGATGGCCTGTAGGTTCCTGCTATGGTTGAGTCATTCATTGTGAGGGTTTTTATTTGAAAAGTTTTCATTTTATAGGCTATATATTCATCCTACATGCAGGTTGCATACATTTAGATAAACTAAGTTTACAAATACATCAAATATTTTTGATGTAGGCCTATGTTTTTTTTTTTTTTAAGAAATATTTGAGATTTTAGGAATCTTTTAAAAAATGTTAGTCCCCTTAAACAAGCTCTAATTCCCATCTAGATTACTGTAATACTTTTTGGCACATAGTCCCATAAAAAGTAACGACTTTGTATTGTGTGATAAATAACATGGATGCTTGTATCAATATCAAAGGTTACAATTTATATGAATATAATGGAGACTAAAATGTAATTGTCTGGAGGCGTATAGCCCGTTTTTCACCATTTTGATTGTTTATAAGGTTTTCACCATCTGAAATCTGGTGATATTAGTTTTAACATATAGTTTACTGTATTATAAAATGTATAGCATGCCACACTGCTGGAAACTGTCACTACTTGAAGAGGCTTAAGCCTAGTTCCTGACTAAAATGCAACTTTGAGCTGTTTGAACTGAAAGCGACTTAGGCATATCTTAAAATATGTCAGTGCCATTGTTTTGTCTCAAGATGCACACCAGTATTGTTTTTTTTTTTCTAGGGCATGTTTATAAAAGCTACTTAAATGTCCTAATTGAAGTAAGGCCTAATCCTGGCTTATTCTAAACCCTGTCTGTGAAACCAGACCTTGTTTATTTGGTCAAGTACTGAATGAGTGTGCTGTGGACATGGTTACATAAAGAACTGTCTATCTAAATATTTGCTTAAAAGCCTGTTTGTTTGCTTGTTTGTTGGTCAGCAGTCAGTGGGTATTTAGTGTCTTAGCCCCATATAAACAGTCGTTATGTATCTAAATCTGGCATAAGTCTGAGCAAGTTTAAACAAGTAGCCCACTTAATTTACAACTGAAGTGAATGTGTGTGAATGTACCCCACGCCTCCAGATCTCAAGGGGCCAAAGAAAGCTAATTTTCACCCAGCGCTCCAGCCTCATTCTCTCTGTCTTGCTATGTGTGCACAACCTATATCAGTCCCAGAATGCATCAGATGCATTTCTGTACTCACAGTGTAACCCACTTACAGCTAAACCAGACTGAATAGGGAGCTTATTCACACAGAATGGACCGGGGTTAAATATGGTCAGGATCTCTCTCTATCTCTCTTCCATTTCAGTCTCCATATCAAAATGGCCTTGTAAACTTTTATTACCCCTTATATGTCATGCAGGAAAGAGATGAAGCCCGATGTTCTAATTACCAGAAGGTTACACCAAGAGGAAAATGTTATTGCACTCTCATAGCTCAGGAGATTTAAACGAGTCCTCTGTCTTGTTTTATTTATGTAAACACTTTGTCTCAGATGTTTCTCCTAACATTTCATAGGGACACAAATGAGATCATTATTAACACACAATAAGTAGGGAAGAAATTAAGAATGTATGTGAGTGATAATACTTATTTAGCATATATATACAGTATATATATATATATATATATATATTCACAGATAGATAGATAGATAGATAGATAGATAGATAGATAGATAGATAGATAGAATTATAATTATAATAAGTATTTATCAAAAGAATGAAATGCAGTATGTGATGTCAATTTACTCAATGTTTATATTTTAAGTGCTGGAGGCAATTGAGTTTCATATCATTTGGCACACAGGTTTTGCCTGCCAGCAGGACTTTGCCCGACTCTTCGGCCATTAGAGGATTTATGTTACCATTGGTGGGTACAGTAAGACTGGCACACAAACAACAGACGTTATTTGCAAAGAGCTCAAGCAACTAAGCAGCAGTTAACAAGACATTGGGTGGTTTCCAAGACCACAACAATTTTTTGATTTCTAAAGCAATTTCATTTTTTGTCATTGTTTCTAAAATGCCGGTGACCTGATAAAAGGAAATTGAATTCCTCATATTTCATCTTTTTTCCTGATGTGATCGGCATAACTTCTGAACCATAGACTGTTCTAAACTCGTTCAGACCCATGACCTACAGTTCACTTCCTGTTTCTCTCAAAGCACTTCCTTTGCACTTGCTGATGAGTCAGAGTGCAGTTTCAGTGACCTTTACTATTGCAGTGGGTGGCTGTATGTATGTTGGTATAAATGTGTTGGGGTGTGGTGTGTGATTTAGTGTGCAAAAGCATGCCTACTTTGGCCGGAGTTGTTGCCAGCACAGTTATTTTATGTCAGAGCACTCACAAACACATGGACGCAATGCACCGCCTTCAAGTGTTAACAATGGTTGTGTGAATTTACTGATTTCCAGATCGGTCTTGGAGAATAGAAGGAATAAATAGACATTTCCTCTTGTCCTTCTGGTTGCACACAAACATGCTCATAAGCACGCCTCCACAGTCATGCAAAGGACACACACATCTCTACACACATGCACACATCCGTTCCACTACATACAAAAACAACACTTAAAAATCCAGACAGTGGAGTTGCTACGAACTGTGGTTTTAACATGCACACCTCTTGCTCACACAGGCGTTATGTACCATTTTGATTTCCTGGTTCAGTCTTATTTTGAGCAAATTTTGAATGTGAACCCCTCCATATCACGAGAATGAACCTCATTGGTTCTCGCACGTCAAGCAAACATGCTTGAGCTGAGCTTCCGTTTACCACAACTGATGTGTGCGCTGGTGAATGTTTATGGTTAAAGCTGTCTATGGAGGGACAGAAATCTCTCATATTTCATTTTAAATATCTTCATTTGTGTTCCGAAGATGATCAAAGTCTCATTTTTGTGTGAACTATCCCTTTAAAATTGTCTGTGAAGCCGGGGGATTGTGTATTGTCTTAAAATACAATAAAATATGATTACAACAGTTTGTCCAGGAGCTTGCACAGCGATCACTACTCTGTTCCAGTTCGTGCGTAGCTTGGCAACATGATAATCAAATGCTTTGGCTTCTGTCTGAACCATTTATATTGACTCAATATGAACCTGTGGCATTGTGCCTATGGCTGAATCACAGCATTCAATGTGATTATTTCTTAAAATCAATAAGAAAATCTTGTTGTCTGAAGCAACATGTCTATTAGAGGATTGCAGACTTTCAAAATTATTTTCTTATGAAATTTACTTTTTGTTTTATTTTGCTGATTTATTGACAGATCTTTACAACAAAATATGTAACATAAGTTGAACCAAATCAATTTACAATACAAATAAATAGATTTTATGCAATGCTTAGGCATATTTAAGGTTACATTTCAATAGCCTACACATTCCTAAAGAAAAAAAAAGATTAATCTGTGAAAGTGTATTTAACACTCAGCCAGAATTCCTCTCATTCTCTCGTCTGAATTTCAGCTGAGTAGTAAAAACAGCTTGACTGCATTTACTAAATTGAAGTCAGCACAGCTGCCTGTCAGCGCACAAACTCCCTCATTGGACTCTTCAATCCATTATTCTCCCCCCCAAATCCATTTCTCCGGGCTTTGCAGCTCGCCACGCCTCGCCTCGTTTTTTCTCAATAGTTGTCAGAGCCTCGGGTCACTCACTAGTCGTCGTGAGGCATCCTCCACTCCCTTTCTTTCTCTCTGTCTCCCTGTCCTCCACCTTCTCAGGCTCCAGCATCCTTTTTTGCAAAGGCTGAGAAAACCGTGGACCACGAAGCCGTTCGCATATTTGAGGTTGTTTGAGCTCTTTATTTTTTGCCTGAGTGAGGCAGGAAAACAAACGCGAGTCTTTTCTCCTCAAAAGTTCTCTAACCAAACTCCGACCATGTCCGGCGAAGACGCACCTGCCCAGCAGCAAAACGCCGAGGAGCAGAAGCAGCCGCAGCAGCAGGAGACCAAGACGCCCGCCGAGTCCCCAAAAACCGAGAGCAAACCAGACCCACCGCCCACCAGCGCGTCCACCGAGGCCGCTGCTGCCGCCGCCGCCGACGCCGACACCCCAGCGCCCGCCGCCGAGAAAGCCCCAGAGGAGGACACTTTCAGCTACAGGGCTCTGGTGCTCACCGGTTACGGCGGGTACGATAAGGTAAAGCTCCAGGTGAAGAAGGGGAAACCGGTGCTCAAGAGCGGCGAGGTGATGGTGCGCGTGAAAATGTGCGGGCTGAACTTCGCCGATCTGATGGCGAGACAGGGACTGTACGACCGACTCCCGTCCCCGCCGGTGTCCCCGGGCATGGAGTGCTCCGGGATCATCGAGGCTGTCGGTGAAGATGTGACTGACAGAAAGGTAGAGCAAACTTACTTTATTCTATGCAGACATTTGATTTATTGATATTAATATGCGTTCGGCGGTGTTAATTTTCTTCATTTTATGACATATAACGAGTTTGTTCAACACACAACGTGTTATAATGTTTTCTCAGTTATTTATATATTTAATTATCTCTAACGCTGTGCAAAAAAAAAGAAAAGAAAAAAAGTCAGTCATTCGAAGAGACCTCAAAGTCCTCTCATATTCACTCGCCACCGGAGACAAAAGAGGAGCGGGAGGGGCGCCGGTAGCCTTGTTTCAGAAGCACCGGAGCTCTTGTCGCGCTGACCCGAGCAATGGGCCAGAACGCTAAACGTTCACGGGAGCGCGAGTTTTGCTTGTGCGCGGGGCGAATGGAAAGTAACAAACCACCTTGTGGTAGCTACTTTAAGCACACAGCTAAATAATAACGCTCATATTATAAACGATGACCTGTCGCGTCACGATCAATGTAGGCAGATTGGTTTATTATAATAGAAGCGTTTGGTTTTATGGCTTCAGAGTGTGAATTGAAGGAACCACCGCCCTCTTTCTCTCTGAGATTGACGGGTTTTGGTTTTGTGAAGTCTCACCTGAGACGCGCCAGCCGCGTCAATTTAATGCTTTCGACATTGTTAATTCACTTTCAGGTGTTTGTGCGCGCGTGGAGGACTCTCTCCCCACGCGCAGGAAAAAGGGCGAGGCTCGCGAGGGGGGAAATGCTAATCGCACGCGCCCTTTGTCATCTGCCTCGCGCATTGTGACACCGACATACTCTCTGACATCATTCATCATAAGTGTCAGATTTTCTTCTTCTCTTTTAGCCTCTTTACGAATTAAAGTTCTTCCCTTTAGGCCTATATAAACGTAAACGCCTATTTCTGTAGGCATCGCGCCAACGAAATACAATTTCTTAGTGTTACCATATTTGATATAGTTGGCCACCGACTCTAAAATACTGTAAATAAACCTAATACTCGCTCGGGTTACTTTCTCAGCCCTAAAGGTCCACAGAAAACAGCGGAGTCTTAGTATGACGTGGACTGATTGACTTTCTATGTGCTCCATATGAACAAATCGATGAGTCATGCCTGGTGGTCGCTGCTGGTCTCCATGGCAACGTATCATGGCAACGCCATGCACCGGCGCTGGCTTTTTCTCTGTCTCTGTGTTGAAAGGATTTGATATTTGTGTTACTTAGAACAATAAACATATTTAATGAGAGCCAGTCGAGGTAAGATGTTCAATAATTCTATGAAATGTCGATTAAAACCTGAGTCTTTGTATGTGAATATGAGTTAAAGAGAGGGAGAAAAAGGGAGCGAGCAAAAGCAATCACTAGGCGTTGGCTGGTGGGTGATGCGGAGGAGGAAGATAATGGTTCAGCCCTTCCTCAGCCTTGTCTGTCATCAATATTGAATTTAAAAGGTCATGGTCCACCCTATCTCTCTCGCTCTCTCTGTATTACCATGTCAGCAAGCAAACAATTGCTTCATCTCACATTTGGAGACCTGATAGTGTTTGGCAAAGCTGACATTGTTTGGTGAGCATGTGAGGTGAGGAATCTGCTGATTGTGATATCCAGAAAATTACTCTTTCTTAGAGGAAGAGACGGATCTCTGTAAAGACACTCTTGAGAACTGTAGAGGTGAATGCTAAAGACCATGGCATCCTCTCACATGACTTGACAGATGTTATTCCTAAACTGCTCTCTTGTGCCCACTCTTAGTATATATTAGCATTTTTTTCATGAATAATTCATATAACTTGTTGCTTATGCACACACACACACACACACACACACACACACACACACAATATTTATCAGAGTTCTGCTGTGAGGATCAGATGCATCTGTTCACAATTATCTTCCTCTGGACCACATTGTCAGCCTGGAATTTCCTCTCTCTCGCTCTCTCTCCCTCCCTCTGTGTGTGTGTGTGTGTGTGTGTGTGTGTGTGTGTGTGATTTGACAGGTCGATGATAAACAGCGACGCAGTGAATACCAGTAAGTGAACAGCAGGGACACGCGCCGTTTCAGCTGAATCTGATGGTGCCGTGTAAAGATTTTCATCGAGAAACAGTTTTAACATAAGATTTTTGACATGGTATCCTGATGTCTTTTCAAGTAGTTGCATTTAAGAGCAGTTTAACTGCACAATTAGAGTAGAGTTACGGAGAAGTTGTTGGCCAAGATTTGTTCAGTTACTAAATCAACGATCAACATACTAGAGCTGTGTCATTGTGGAATAATAAAAACCTTTTTACTGCGCAGTAAATGTCAGTAGAACAAGAGAAGTGGTAACAGTGTTTTGACGAAGGTTAGAGAGAGAGGGTGGTGACAGTACTGGCACTATGATGGAAGTATGACATAATTTGACAATTGTAGGGATTAAACAATGTAGATGAGGATAGTTTCACCAGGTGCCACATAAAACAAGCAAAAATAAATGGATATACTTCAAAAGTCAAACTCTGACGGCAGTACCTTGTAGTGCATTTTAAGTATTTTAACTTTGCATTCAATACTTTTTTCTTTTTTTATATAATTGTTCTACATGGAATCTGATAATAAGACAAAATTCCCCAAAAGACCAGCTTCCACAGGACTATAATGTATACATATCTGTGTGCAATCTATGGAAAATTTTCTGCCGAGTGGCAAGTTAGTAGTTGAGAAAAATTCCATTTTATATTTTTATATTAATGTAAAAAATAAATAATATTTATATAATGTATAAAATTCCACCATTTTTGTCACCTTTTTGACTTTTCTAGTTCATTTTAAATCCCGCAGCACAAAAAAGTGAAGAAAAAAATATAAATAATTTGTGTAATCTCTTGATTAATGAGATCATTGAACTGCATGCATAATAATTATTAAAAAATAATTAAGCCATTTAAAAATAAAGCTATTTATTTTAGTACACACCGCAGGACATGTCAACTTCCCAAAAGTATTTCATGTCAGCATTGAGTTTAAATAATAGATATCGAAATATAGCTGAAATCCATTATTAATTAGTTCCTGCATAATTAGTTGCTATTTCATAGATTCAACAGTGTATTTTTGCATTGATTGCACCCCACCTAGAGCGTGCTGGGGTTAAGCGTCTTGCTCAAAGGCACAGTGGTGATAAAACAGGATTGTGATCTCAATATCTCACTGCCCCACGTGGGATTCTGAGTGGCCATCCTTTGTGCTTTCAGGCCGGAGCCTTAACCGCAGGGATACTGCTGTCACATACAAAACAAACACAGATAAAATAGACAAAATCAGTGCTGGGAGACAGCAAAGCTTTATGGAGCAGAATCCTATTTCCACAGCAACAAGATTACAAGTTCGCCGACAGATGTATTTCATGAGCCTAATGCATTAGATAGCCACTTTACCCTTCAAAGTCAGTGTGTTTGAGTGTATGTGCATGCTTACAGGAAAGGAAGAGACAGGAGAGACTCGTGCAGCCAGTGACAGACATCTCACAAGACCTTCAGCTGGCCTTGATCTTTGCAACCTCAGCTGAAAAGTGTTTGTTTTTGTGCAAGCACAGAATACAAAGTATGATAAGTTTGTGACACAAGTGTGACTGTTGTGCAAGTCTGACGAGAGAGGGAGAGAGAGAAAAAGAGGAGGAAGCGGTTTGGTTTCCCCGTATGGTGAGTCATGATCACAATTCCTGGCCGAGACATGAATGCCCATTGATCTGTGATGTGCAGAAAGTCCAATTAAAGGAGGAAGAGGAATGGCAGAAAGCAAGACTGAGATGTGGAAGACGAGATGAGAGAGACGGGGAGGAGAGATGAAATGGGGCACAGACATATCGGCTTGGGAGTAGCCCCGCTCTCTAATTGGACAGTATAGACATAGATGCCCATGTGTCCCTTGGGCCTATTAGACTGTGTGTGTGTCTCTTCCTGTCAGTGAGGGAAGAGCTGGGTATATTAGTGTTTGTGTTTTACTTTGAAAAAAGCTTCTGTGTGTGTGTGGTTTCTGAAGCTCTGTTGAACATTTGTGCCAAGTTTGTGTGTCCTCAGAAAGAAATAGAGAGAGGTGCTTTTCCGTGTGTGTGTTGTCTTCTCTCAAGCTCATTGAGGCTGAAGGATCTGCCTGCCCCCTGATGAGAGGAACTGATCTTTGAAATAAAGAAAGACGGAGCATGATAGAGGGGGAGATGGGAGATGAAAAGAAGTGATAGACGGAGAAAGAGTGGTGGAGGAAGTGGAATGTTTATGATACTACTGATTGAGAAGATACACAAGTGGAGGATGGGACATAAGTGTTGACAGTTTTTTGTGCTCGTTACAAAGGTCGGATCAGTCAGTGTCACTGCCTTTATGAATTTTGAACACCGCTTGAAGGTGAAGTGCCATTTGTTAGCGCTAGCGACACCAAACAGAGTGGCAAATCTGTTTCTTTGAGCAGTGACTTGAAAACGATTCGGGACTGCTATTGGTGCAGGAATTACAGTATGCAATTTATTTAGTGGTTTATTAGTTGTACTTGCTAAGCTCATACAGTATTTAAAGGGAAAGTTTACCCAAAAATTTAAATTCTTAATGTGGTCTATTGGGTTTAAGTTGGCTAAATGACTAAAGAAGTCATCAACCTGTACGTCACCAGTGAGAAATCTGTCGTTCTAGTAATGACATTGTTTTAAAATTACAAGCTCATTAAAAAAAGAAAAGAAATGCATGGGTAAGTCATTATAAGATGCATTTAGAAAATAGATGAGGTGAATTTCCATGCCAACTTCAGTCAGACTACAGTTTTCTTCACTGTTGTGCGCATGCTGTGAAAGACACGCAACATCCTTCAAATATTTGATTCAATGCATTGTCATGTATACTTGAATTGAACAGACAGATGCAGTTCGACTATGCAACAAACTGATTTTTAACTGCACATGTAAACGTACTTAATGGAGGCTCAGAGGTCTGTGTTACAAATGTGTGTGTAAACGTTTGCATACCTTGTATCTCCTCATTCCAAAGGAAGTAGTGGAAGTCTGCTGAGTTTTCCAGTTTTCCTGTATCTGTGTGTATGGGTCTCCAAGGTAATTAAAGGATTTTCAGTTACAACAGATATTATCAAACGACTCTAAATGGAGCATTTAGAGTCTGCTCCGAGATAAAGTTTAGCAAAATGGTCCAGATGGCCAACAGTACAGGTTCAAATATTTTGTTAACTGTTTTGAAGGATAATGACAACAAAACATAGACAAAAGATCTGTGCAGCTGTGCGAATGTCTTGCCAAAAAAGTTTTTAAAAAAACATCCAACGCTACGCAAAACCGAAAAGAGCAAATCACCATACAGATCCAATGAGCTTCATCACATGTGCTCGAATAGTCTTTATATATATTGATGTACACAACATTGTTGCAGCGCTGCTACGATGACTGACGGTAGCGTAAAACACTGAAAGGCATATTGTACAGGACTGTTTTCCAAATGTGCCTTCAACATTTCTTTCTCTTTCCACGTCTGTAGGTGGGTGATAAGGTTCTGGTTCTGAATCGCAGCGGTCTGTGGCAGGAAGTAGTTGTGGTGGCGACCACACACACCTTCCTGATGCCCGAGGGCATGAGCTTTGAGGAGGCGGCGGCACTTCCTGTCAATTACATCACCGCCTACATGATGCTCTTCGACTTTGGGCACCTGCGTCCCAACCAGAGCATACTCGTCCATATGGCCGCAGGTAAGTGAAAGTGTGTGTGGAGATTATGCAAATGTATTACGGCTTCATAACAGGAATTACATGCAACCTAATGCAATGATATGTTCGTGAGCCACAACACAATAGATATATCCATAATGTGCAGGAGGTGTGCGTAAGTGTTTGTGTATATGGCTCCTGCAGCTGGCCAAAAGGGAGCCCTGGGGCTTTTGACGCTGGCAAGGGAGTACAGCAGTGGTTTACATTTACTTGCGCGCTCCCATCATCATTCATGTGAGTGGATCAGAGAGTCCCTTGTGTTAATTAACTATTTCCAAGTGTCCTCCCTGAGGGATTTTTCACTCTGTGCAGGTGTACGTATGTGTGTTGAATCTGTGCTCTCTAAATAATGACCTTTGGGAGACACTAAGTGCAGGTTTAAATAGTTTATTTGTTCTCAGAGAATATTCCTGTAGGTGTCAAACAAATCTGTTATCGATAAATTCATTCGAGCGAGTTCCTTAGCAGCCGTTTAGTTTATAAATGTTTAGACAATGTTCTGGCACCAGTAAAAGACTATTCTGTGGTTGTATTGGAAAACACTTACCGATTTTGGGATGATAGTTATTTGGTTGAACTGTGATTACACAGTTGTTCATTATGTAACATTTCAAGTGATTATATTTTTTATAGTTAGAACAGAACAGCGTATATGTGTGTACGCTTGTGAGAATGTGCACATATGGATCATTCATACGGCGTTGCCTGTGAGTGTGTTGCGGTGTTAGGTTTTTAAAGGCACACTATGCAAGAATTGTACCTTAATATAACAGCTTCAAACTCATTCCGGTGGTAAACAAACTCATAGTAGGGTGAATCATCCTGGTAGTGAAGCTTGGGGGGGGGGACGCCGCTGGAAAAACCAGCAATGCAAGTTTGAGAGGAGCGCTCCCGACAAATCTCGCGAGAATCACGACATGCTTTACGGCAACGACGTCACACACATCGACCACAACATGAAGCACGAAGACACTTGCGCGCATTTCAGACGTGATACTCGACGATGGAAAAAGCAAAGAAAACGCGGTCGGAAGAGACTAGGAAAATAGAATGAGCCGCTCAACCCGTAAATAAATGCATCGATCCGCAAGTTTTGTTTGAGTTCTTTAATGGTCTAGTGGTAGATCTTTTGCCAAGCGTGTCAGAGGTTACAGGTTCTAAGTTTTTTCTCTCTCATCAAAACTAAATATGTTCATCAGTGGTTACAGTCTGTATCAAGCAGGGACATGTTTTTTGTGCATTTTATTTTGTGATTTCACCGGAATGAATAGAGAGTCTCCGCAACTGCGATAGATTGAAGAGCGCGTCCGAGTGAAGACTGCATGCCACAAGAGACACTATGTATCCATGACACTGATAGCAGCGGACACGAGCGCTCAGCTTGAGTTCAAAAACACATTTTAGTGCTAGATCTCTTATTTAAAGCAAAAAATGCACACTATGCAAGATTTGAACCTTAATATAACAGCTTCAAAGGGGTATCAGGCTGTGAGTGCAGAGACCAGTCTATGGCAGAGACGCTCTGCGTGAGTGGCATTTACGACAGTAACAATAAATACATAAGTACTCCACAGCGACTCTAGGGGTCGCTGTTTGACAAAAACGGAATTCCTGCATAGTGTGCCTTAAAGTCCCCGTGAACCGGAAGTTGCAAACGACTTTTCTCCAGTGTTGTGACGTATTTCCGAGAGAAACGGAATACTAAATGAGGCAAAATGGTGGGCGTGGCTTTTTTCCCAACTAGCACCTGATTGGATCTAGAAAAGTAGGTGTTTTCATTCAGCCTGTCTACTGTCAGTTGGAGGGGCGTGATTACGGGTGTTAAGAAGACGCCCAAACCGTGAAACCTACGTCATCAGGCAAGGTCCTCCAACGCAGAGGGGAGGGGAAATTTCAGATTTTGATTAAAGATTATGAAGCCAAAAAATTTTTTTTTGTGGATTGACTTGCATGGATGAATTGTTCAACACAAAACGATCAATTTAGGCAAACAAAGTAAGTATGGTCAATTTTGAATTCATGGGGACTTTAAGTGCGCATTTTAATATATGAGCATTTTATATTTTATGTACTTTTTTGTTAGATTCAGTGTTTTGTGAACCTAAGTATTTTAGGCTAATGAACATATTTTTGTGGTATAAATATAAAACGAATTACTGTTTTACTTTTGATCATTCACTCAACTTCTACGGAAGACTGTATTTGTGACTTGTGATTTTTTTTTTTTTTTTTTTTTACGTTGTGGTTCAAGGCTTCTGTACAAATGAGATCGCAGGAAACGAAAGAATAGCAAACCACAACAATCCAAGATAAACCACAAAAGGGAAGAAAAGACTATCGCAATGTCCGTTTCATGCCGACATTAACGTTAGTTGCAGATTCATTGGATCATGGAGTCCAACCAATAATTTTTTTTCAGAGATTGGCCATATTGCCTCTCCATTATTTTGAATTTTATTGTAAACTGCTGTAACTTTTTAATGTTTCGTGATATAGAAACAAAATTTGGTAATCATCATTGACATGTTCTGAGCGCATCTGAGCAATTCATACACATTCACCTAGTGTTCAGTTTCAATACTCCTTCAACAAATATTGTACAAATCTTACACAGCGTCACCTAGTGTTCAGTTTCATTACTCCTTCAACAAATATTGTACAAATCTTATGGGTTTTTTTTGTTTTTAAATTATTTTGCCCGTAGCAGCGGCAACATAATTTTCTCCACCATGCTTTGATGTACTGATTTAAATTGGTATTTGTCTTTGGCAATTGACAACTTTTTTGCAATATACATCATTCAGTTTTTGCAGCTGTATTTCTTGCTAGATTAATGTGTTTGTGAAAATTAATTTTTTAAGCAGCATTCTGCCTCCTGAACCCTGGAAGGGACGTTCTGTAGTACAAGTCAGTATTTAGAAAGCCTTTTTTCTTTAAAAAAAAAAAAAAGTTAAACATTTTAAAGTGATTTATATAGCCCTTGTTTCCTTGTTGCATTTGTTTCTGTGCGCTTGTGAGGAAATGTTTTACGCTTCTTAATGCAAAGTTTGAGAAAATACATTTGTGTAAATCATACACAAGAACCATTCTTGGAAAATTTTAGCATTCACTTCAGTGGGATAATTTACGCAAGAATGGATTTACGAATGATTTACACAGGAATCTATTCTCCTTGTTTTTCATGAATGAGGCCCAATGAACGGACTGAAATATTCTCATATTTCCTCTCGGGGGTTTGATATGTGTCTGATATCCCCTGTCGCTGTGAATGCTGGTGGACATATGCATCAGTGTGGGTGTGGATGAAGCTTTGGCTCGGGGTGGAAGGAAACGCTCTCGTCCAACTGGAGTGTTGCAGAAACCAGGAATCTCAAACAATCTCGAAAACGTCTCCTTGAACCACCACCACACCCTAACAGCGAAAGAGGGAATGTTTTAAGACAAAACTTGGTAGTGGTCATAAATATTTGCAGAGAAATCAAACCAAAACACCCATAAAAAATAAATATCAGGGCCCGTATTCAGAAAGAATCTTAATGCAAAGAGTAGCTCCTAGTGACAAAATTCTAAGAAAATTCTTAGAAATGTGGGCGTTTACTCTTAAAATGTAAGAAAAAATCCTAGTAAAGAAAAAAGTAATTCAGAAAGCATCTTAACCCTTAAAGGGATAGTTCACTTTGAAATTAATTTTTGGTATGTTTTAGCTTACCTCAAGGGCATCCAAGATGTAGGTGTCTTTGTTTCCGCAGTAGTTTCAATTTTGATATTTTTAGGTCAAACCGTTCTTGTCTGTCAGTTATATAATGCAGGTCTATGGTCACCACCTCAAAGAGCATGCACAGAGAAGTCCAAATTATACATGATTTAATAACTTGTAAATGTAAGTACACACTGATGGCCTAAGACACGAAACGAGCGGTTTGTGTGAGAAAACAAACATTATTTATATCGTTTTTACCTCTTGTAACGCACAGACCGAAGCGCCCGCGCCCTCAGATCACTTGGACGTGGCTGTGGTTACCATATATATATGTGGTTAAAAACGATATAAATACTATTCGGCGCGGTCATTGTTGATGTGCTGGAGCACTGTCTATGAGCAGAATGGCGTCTAAGCGATTGTGGTGTTCTGTTCTTGGGTGTAATAACGAACACAGCAGTCATTTTAATGTTCCTAAATCCGAACCGCTGAAGACGCAGTGGCTGAGTTTGTTTTCGAAGGGAATATTCCCCACGAGCAACGTCAATGCTTTCATGTTTGCGCGAATCATTTCTCACCAGACTGCTTTATAAACGAGGGTATAAAGCTGGTTTTGCTAAGAAGCTGCTCATGAAAAAAGGATCAGTACCAGCTATTCGTGTTCCTGCTGAACCTCTAGAACAACTGAAGTGAGTGTAACGTTTTATTAACCTTTATATTAATATTAATATTAATCTTTGCAAATCGCTAGCTGCACGCTTCACAATGAATGCGTCTAAGGTTTACACTTAGGGTACATTACGGCATGTTTTCTATGTATGATGTTCTCAATATAATTCATAATCCCACGTTTATACTGAACAACTTGTTATGGTTATTGTGTTACAAACGATGTACACACAGAACAGAGAGGCGGGGTGAGCAAAGCTCATTATCATTTAAAGTCATATGCACTGAAACGGCGTGCTGAAAACAGAGCTGTTTTTGACCAGGTAAAATAAGTGTTTTCTTACAATACTAATGAGAATTTTTAATTAAAGTATATTACAAATAGGGTTGGGTACCGAAACTCGGTGCCAATAGGGAACCGGTTCCGACGTAAACGGTAGTAACCAGACCGAATAAGAACGACAATTTCGGTGCCTGATTTCGGTGCCTGACTTAATTAGGCACACACGCACACACACACACACGCACAGTCTCTTCTGTCTCGCACGCGCGCTCTTGCTCGCAAGGTTTGGCTGCATTTCTCGTGTAAAATTACGCGTCAGAACGCCCTCTG